TTATTCAAGGGCTGTGAATTTAGGTCCCCCTTTTTACACATCACAGGAGCAGCCCCTCGCTTATTATCTGTCAAGAGGCCTCATGGGATAGCTGTATTTACTGAGACGTGTTTGCATAGACTACAGACGAGTGTTATGGCTGAAACAAGAGGTAGGATCAGGTTATACAGCAGCTAGCAAACTTTAGCAGGCATAAAAGTCAACCATTTAGACTTTTCTAGTATCATTGAAATGCTAATTTCTCCTTAATTTGTGCCCCTACCACGGTCAAACTGAGGCACGAGTCTCACCAGAAAGCGGTAAAAGGAACAGATGTGATGGGAAAATTGAAGCAGCCAACGGTTTTAGAGAATAATAGACTGTATTCTACATAAACAAATCAAATCAATTATTTAACAAGCATCAAGGTGCGTTCCAAAAGAGTGATGCCTGAGGGTTGGAAATTGTAAAATATGAAAATAAAAAAAAATAAAAAAAATGGGCTGGTGGTTAATTTAATTTAAAAACAGTGCAGTTGGTTTAGTACTTGTACACAAAATGAGCCAACATGTGTTTGGCATTTTGAAATGAGGGCATTGTGAAAATGAAACACACCGCTTTGATACCAGGTCGCAGACAGAAACATAACACTGGACTGTAGAAAGAAATGCACAAATCAAATGTGTGTTTCTTGAAAAAACAAAACTGGTAATAAATCCTAAACAATAGCATAAAAATTCAACCCAAATGCATTTATTTTTAATCCATTGCATTAAAGTTTGGGTGCTACATTTTGGTCTTAATTAATGTAGTTTATCCAACAGGAGGCGGCTTCAAAATGTAACAAATTAGACCACATAACATGCTGTCATCAACTTATCTTGAAACATATCTTGAGCACGCTTGTGAGTCACTATTTAACACTTTGGCCTGAGAGTTGATTGGGAGGGAGGTGCTCTTTTTCACTTTTCTGTGAAAGATGCATCAGAGGCCAAAAATACAGGCATCTGAAATCTAGGGATAAAACCCAAGTAGCTACTTTGCTTTTAATTACAGTGTTATTTGATGTTGTTTGAAATTGAGTTACCCCGGCTTTATTGTTGGCTTGTACTCTATGATGCATCAACACGAAGTAACCATTCTAGTGCTCATGAAAACGAAAAAGATCAAGTTACTAGAGGACATATAGATATTTCAATGATCAGTACTAAATGGCAAAATAAATACAAATCATATCAAGCAAAAGTGACAGCACATAATTCTTGCAGGCAGAGGAGGAGAACGGTGTTTTGCTTACCTGTTGGCTGCTTGTCCCCGGTGGCTCTGTGGAGATGACTCTTGGGTTTGGCATCCTACTGTTCACATAATTACATTTTCCCCACGTTTCTCCAGCAAAACTCAGGCGTGGATGGATGTAATATAAAGCAGATCAATAACCCCCTTTTTGTAAACTGCCAGTTCTATGCTTTCATTGTATATGAGAATGTTGTTCATATAATTCAAATCATTTTGCGTTGAGTCGTTTTGTAAAGTAAGCTAAATGTACCTCAGGAAAGAGAGCACACACTTGCATAACACGCAGCCTGACCCCGTACATTTAATATATCGACTTGTACAAATTGTCATATTTAAAAATGATTAATAACTATTGTAAAATCGTTGATTTTTGGCCGATTAGGAAAACATGGTCAAAAATAAGTAAACCTGGCTTCATATGAGCTCGAAAAATAATGTAGCTAATCTCAATAGATGAGCAATAGTATGATGGTTTTTCGTTTTCCTACAGAGAATATTCACCAGTTATTCATAGTAGACACTCACCTGCATCAGAAAGCGCTTTCTCTTTGACTGAACTCTTCTGAACACGTAGAGGTTGAGGTCCAGACCAGACCCATAGGCTAAACCAGGCTAAACCAGACCATGGATCTATGCACCAAACACACAGATCTCAGAGAGTAAAAATCAATGACTGTTTTTCTGATGTTGTTTCTGTGAGCACTGGTTCTCCTCAGGGATGTATTTTGAGTCCTCTGCTTTTTACTTTGTACACTCACGATTGTGTGTCCTCCTCTGACTCAAATCTGATCATCAAATATGCTGATGACACCACCATCATCGGTCTCATCAGTGACAATGATGATTCCTCTTATAGAGCAGAGATCGAACATGTTTTTCAGTGGAGTAAAGTAAACAATCTCCAGCTGAACACTGCAAAAACATGTGAACTTGTCTTTGACTTCAGTCGTAGCAGTTCTCACACTCCTGTTGTTATTGACAACTCCCAGGTGCAGATCGTAGAGGAGTGCAAGTTCCTGGGTTTAACTCTGTCTAACGACCTGAAATGGGTTAAAAACACTGACCGGGTTGTTAAGAAAGCTCGTCAGCGGCTCTTCTTTTTGCGGAAACTTAGAGAATTTACCACTAACTCCAAGATTCTGCTTAACTTTTATCGCTGCACCATTGAGAGTTTACTTGTTGGTTCTGTGTCTGTGTGGTTTGGAAACATCACAGATAAAGAAAAGAGAGCTTTAAACAAGGTGCTCCGCTCTGCAAAGAGGACCGTGGGCTGTGAGCTTCCTGTTCTGGAGGTTCTTTACAAATCCAGACTTTTAAACAAAGCTCTTAAAATCATCGGTGACTCTTCTGGCCACCCTGGGAAAGCCATGTTCCAGCTTCTTCCCTCTGGCAGAAGATATCGGTCACTGAGATGCAAGACATCTCGCTATGCTAACAGCTTCTTTCCACAGGCTGTTAGGTGCCTAAACAGAGCACTTTAATTCCTGCTTTTACCCCTTGTATTGTTTTGTTGATCGGTGCCACAGTGTCAGCTGTTTTTATTATTATTTTATATTCAGTGTATGTGTATTTATATTACAATGTATAGTGCTTTTATTCTGTCGGTGCACACAGAGTACCTCTTTTTGCAAATGTATTCCAATGTAGTTTTTATACTGCACATGGCCAATAAATGAATCTGAATCTGACGTGTTTGAGCGCGTGCTCGCTACACCGTCATAATCGTCACCTACCGGTAATCTATATAGTAAGCAAGTAAGTAAGCTTTTATTTATATACCGCCTTTTCACTGCACATCGGAGTCTCAAAGCGGTTTACAATATACAGGAGGCACATGCCAGACCTATTGTACATATTTTAGTGGTAGGGAAACCGAGCACCGAGGAAACCTACGCAGACACGGGAGAACATGCAAACTCCACTCAGAAAGGCCCTGGTCCGACCGGGATTCGAACCAGGACCTTCTTGCTGAGAGGCGAGAGTGCTATCCACTCAGCCACCGTGCCGCCATATATATATTTATATATATTATATATATATATATATATATATATATATATATATATATATATATAATATAATAATATATATATATATATATATATATAATATATATATATATATATATATTTTTTTTTTTTTTTTTTATGGTTTGTTTTTCCACAAAATTATGAAACCATACTTTTTTTTTTAATCCCTTTTATCTTTTTTGTATATATTAAATATATCTTGAGTCTGAAATAAAGATTAAAAATAGTCTATATTTGACGTAGTATACTAAAATGGATGTAGATTATATACTTCAGATTTCACAATACTATGTTGAATTATCATTTTAGTTTTCACATGTTGCCCGATTGTAAATTGATGACATCACTCTTGGGATGTAACATGTTTACAGGGGACAAAAATGTAAGAACTTCTGAGTTTTTGTTCCTGTACTTTCACATTTGACCAGAACTAACGTTACTCCAAATTCATAAAACCCTACATTATTCTCTAGGGTTCATCATTAGAATTCCGTCCAGTTTTCTTCCGCTTAACCCACTTCTGGGTTGGAGAGCAGAGCAGGATTTATTTCTTTAAATTACAAGTTGCAGATGTATGTGTAGCTACTGAAGGAGGAGGTGGAAACAAGCTTATGGATTTTAAAACTTTTTATTTGGATATAATGCAAGCACATATGAACGTATGCACTATTAAGCTCTCAATAGAATGATGTCCCACAGCAAAAGAAAAACACAGGTTAAAAAATAAAACATTGATAATTGAAACGTTTCGGTTTAATCAGAGTCAAATACTAAAAACGCTTGATCTCTCTCAAGATAAACATGATCCCCAAAACCAATTGGCAAAGATGAGATCTCTCAAAACTCTTATGAGCCTCAGCAAGTCCAAACTAGTCGGCACACATAAAATACTTCCAGCCTTAATTTACAACTCCATCGCTGCTTTGAGTGCAGAATGTGCACAACATAAGTCCTGATTAGCGTTCAAGCCTCGGGACAAGATCCGGACAATAAAAACAGTTTAAAGTGAATGAAAAGTGGGCCTTGTCTGAGAGCAAGCGTATTGATCCCTCATTTGGATGCCTTCTGAAGACGACAGAGGTGTTTTGGTCTCAAGTGTTGGTTAATGAAGCTCATCAAGGCATACTCTGTCGAGTTGGGCCCACTGGATTTAGAGCGGATTTAGAAAGTTTTAGACACTTGAAAAGTACTGTGTGAAAATAAACATTGCTTTAATTGTTCAAGCATCAAATTACACAAGACCAAAGTTAGTTCAATGTCTGATCGAAAAAGACATCTATAAAGATCAAGCACAGGGAGAAAAAAAGTTGCATTTTGCGCTAGTAATCAGAGTATACCGCATATTTCTTACAAGTCAGTTACAATTTTGCATAGTTAGTGGAAACATCCTGAGAGCCATGTTAGCAAAACCCCAATCTAAAAATGAAAAATGTATTTAAATTGTCCCTTTCCCCCACGTCATCTAAAAAGTGGAAAAAGAAACAAATAATGAAGATGCATTGTCCAGTTCTTTGTTCCCTCAATCACACAGACACTGCTACAACAGCAGTTACAGCAAAATACGACAGTGTGATTTTAATTGGTCTGGAAAATCTGTCTAAAATAACACAAAAAACAATGTACAGTATTTGTAGAAGCTGAATCTCTATAAAATATCATTGGTCGTATATATGTACTCTAATTATAACCTAATGCTTATATGCTATCCATAGCCTTGAATTCGCTGAGCGCTTGCACGGGGTTGACGTGTTTCTTGTGGGAGGATCTCTTGACTCGGTTGGTCTGGCCGTCGTCCTGCTTCTCCCTCTTGACCAGCGGCTTCTTCTCGGGCGCCTTCATCCTCCAGGACACCGCGGGCATGTTCAGAGCCTCCATGCCCCGGTTCTTCTGGTATTTGGTGGACGCCACGTAGGAGGCCTTCACGGTCGAAACCACTGCGTTCATCAAGTTCTTGGCGGCTTGGATCAGGGACATGGCACTATCCAGCTGAACAAGATCAGAGATGTCATTAGTGATGGGGTGGCAACTATGTCGACTTGTCGTTCAACAACTGATAGGGAAAAAAACTGAATATTTTCTTTCTCAGTATTTATGGTCTGCATTTATGAGGGCATCGCTGTAGAAAGTTTAATAGGACATAATATTACTTGATTCCACTGCATATTTTCAAAATGAATAATATTTAAAAAGTGCTTTATTGAGATTATCCTCCATTATTGGATTAGCGCCATTGGCATAATTGTATATAAATGTTATATTATTGTTACTAGAAATAGGTTTCTGAGACAATACATTGTCCATCCATTCAAATTAGTAATTGTGACAGACCATAATTGCCACTTATATGGAACATCATACTGCATCTCCACATTAATAAATAGACCACTATTCTTGGGGTGACCTTGTAATGACTTGTAAGTAATAAGCAGTCTAGTGCTTTTTTTTTTTTTTTAGAGAGTCATGAAGCACCTCACAACTAGGGGTGGGAACCTAAGGGTACCTCACAATACGATACAAAGCTCACGATAACGTTTTTTTTCAAAATCGATATTGATACTTTGCAAATGCATATCCGTGTTTCCCACACATAGGCAAAACCGACCGCCAGAGATTGCGTTTGTTTTTTTAAATATTATTTAAATATTTAACACTATTTAAAACACGCAGCGTATTCGTTCCGCTGAATGTTTTTTTTCCCTGCTCTCCGCATGTCTCTCTGTCCTCCACGTCTCTCTCTCACTGCTCACACACACACGCTCACACACACACGGCCCCTCCCCTCCCTGCACACCGGGTCTGGCCCCATGAAAATGTCATCCTTGGAAGCATGGCCTATTTGGTGCAGAGAAGACCCCTAGCAAACATGCGATTTCGCCTTTCTTAGAAAGTTAGAGTCGCAAATTTTGGGGTAAAATGTAGTTGGGTTGTCAGAAATGTTTCCTAAGCTGCGCGCGTGCGCAAAAGCGCCCGACACAGAAGTCTGAAGCTGCGTTTGATAAAGAACACTGCTCGGACCAACTGCACCCTGCACACCGTGAACTCGCTCACTCGGTCTTGCGAGTGGTGTCTCACGAGCACTACACCTCGTACGCACTTTGTGTGCATGGAGCCACAAACACACCTCACGCGCACGCACTTATGTAGGGAAGACCAGGTCTGGTCAGACCAGCGTCCCCTTCAGTTTAGCACAAAGTTGCCTATTGCTGAGCTGGTTTTGTGGCAATATGACAATTATTATCTTAGATAATTATTGGTCCATGTGTTTTATTTTATCATGCATATGACTAAATAAAACCATGTATAAATCTATTTAGTCTATATTAAATATGAATAGACAATATACACGTTGAATATTTCGTGTTTTTAGAAAAATTCACCAAATATATTCCGCAATCTACTTTAATTTACCATCTATTAAAGACTCATTTGAATAATGATCAAGTGAATATTGAACCGAATCATAGTTGGTTGAAGCTGGAGTGTCTTAAATAATTGAGATCAGCACCATGAGATACAGCAGGTGTATACAGCATGTGTATACAGCATGTGTATACAGCATGTGTATACAGCATGTGTATACAGCATGTGCATACAGCAGGTGTATACAGCAGGTGTATACAGCATGTGTATACAGCAGTGTCTCCCAAAGTGGGGTCCTGCAGGGGGTCCGCGGGAGGTCATAAAAAAAAAAAAAAAAAGAATTATTTAATGTTAAATTTATAATGTTTTGTTTGTAATATTAAAATATTTGTGTTCATTATTTGACTTGAATAATCCACTGTAATCATTTTTGTATTACAATGTTTGTAGCAGAGGCTATTTCCCCAAAATAAAATAACCAGAAGAGCCTATTCTTAATGTTGTCTTCTTGGTTATTATTTTGGGGGGGCCACGCAGACCCGTCAGATTTTTAAGGGGGCCTCGGTGTTACTGAGTTTGGGAATGGCTGGTATACAGCATGTGTATACATAGGCCTGTCGCGATAGTCAATAAATCAATTAATCGCACGATAAATAAAATTTGCTCAATAACTTTTCTGGCCGACGGAAATTACTCAAAAATACAAAATACAGCCAAAACAGGACCTAAACCAGGACTTAACCAGGATTGACAATGGGGGACACAGTAGTTGTGAACATATGCCGGCAGCTGAGTTCTCATTCAGGCTTGATTAGTGACTATACTAGCGCAGCTAGCGTTAGCGTGTTCGCCGATGCAGAAGTACCGTACCATACCAATAAAATAAACTTATGGTGCACCTCCGTGAACACATACTGCTGTTATATAAAGTCTCTAGAAGGTCTCTGAACACAGAGATGCTGCAGACTTGCATTCTTGGAGTAGAACTTTACACAAAAAACCCGCTAGCTTAGCTGTTAGCATCAAAGCCCGCCCCGCTACTTCCGGTGGGCGCTACCGCAGCAGGACTTCTGTACGCCCCATTGGTAAACCCACATGTCAGTCACTTGTCATTCGCCTGGTGTGTGGGGAGGTGGGACTACTCCTGAGAGATCCTGTCTTAAGCCACACAAAGTCAACATGTTGGTATTTCTTTCTCGTAATCTGCCATAAAGTCTGAGAAATTATTGACATTTGAGGCATCTGTTTCATATTTTCTTTACAAAGGTCCTGGCAGTTTTATTCCTGGTCATTTTTTGTTAAGAGACTGAGTCTATTTTATTTATTGTTTTTGGTAAATTTATTGTGTTCTAGCGTTAAATATTCGTTAAAAATAAAAGTTTATTTCTCTTTGAAAAGGTGTACCTGCATTATCATTGTAATCGATGCAAATGATCTCAGAACAATATAATCGCTTATCGCAATAATTTCTGAGACAATTAATCGTCCAGCAAAATTTGTTATCGTGACAGGCCTATGTATACAGCATGTGTATACAGCAGGTGTATCCAAATGTGAATGGTTTTCAACAGAACTCTCTCGCTCAAAGTGTTCCACGTGCCGCTCAGGGGGTTGTGTTTTTGCCCCGACCCATGAAAAATTTGAGGGAACATTGGTTGTCAGGTCAAAACACTATATGTAGCAGCTTTGAATCAAATAAACGTATTGTAGATAATGTTATGTTGTTTTTTACTTGTACACTGAATGTTTGCTGCTTCAATCCAGATGAGTATTGAAAAGTATTTTCCGTGAAAATCTTTCAAAACTAAAATGACAAAAACAAGGAAATGTCCAATCAGAACAGGCAAAGAGCCCCTTAATATTTTGTTGGTGAGTAGTTCAGCATCCAACCCATCCGTGCAGGTCTGAAACTGTAACAAGCCTTCAGAGTCTTGACAAAGGTGATTTGAGGAATATTGAAAAAGGTCATTCTAATTTAAGCTCCAATATTTAATGGCCTCTGAGGCAGTAGCTGCAACTGAGTGGAAATCCTCCATTGCACAGACATTTCAAACAAGGGGCAAAATCAATAATGAGAATAACTGGGCAATTAACAAAAAGTGTTAGTTATCCGGACTGCACAGGTGTCTAATGATTGCATTCACATGTACCTTAATCAATGTATTGTTCAATCTAAATGTATGACTTCGGTATTAAAAGTTCACTAAAAAGTCAGCTTTATATGGATAGTACACTGAACAGCTATGTTCCAGCATAACCAGTTCAACCAAAATTAGTGAAAAGAACCCATCGGGATTACTTAATACAAACGATGGCCTTGAGCAAGTTTATCTACACATTTAGAATATTGTCTCCAGCACAAAGACCCCCATTATTTCTCATATCTCTTTAATGTACATAAACATAAAGCTCTAATTGCAGTGCACTGTGCGAATTGCCGTCTTATCTCAGCCAACAGCTCCACTCTATTAGAGTTTAGAATGTATTTATTTGGCAAACAACATAATAAGACTATAATAAAAGCAAAACAAATGCATTTTTATCAGATGAATCTCCCCATTTGGAAATTAGAAGTATACAACAGAGAGTTCACTGTAAATGGATGTAGACATTTTGTTTTCAAATTAAATTGGATCCTTCAGTGCATTAAGTTCTGTACATTATAGATAATCTCGTAAAGTTTGCCTCTACTTTCTGATGCATTTGAGGGTCTGCCATACACTGCATGAAAGAGTTCCATTCACTCTGCACCATTTTACAAAACACCTGACTGAATAAACACAAGATGAATTGGAAGCTATACTGTGACACATTATAGTTGAAAAAGGCGGCTTTAGTGTGATAAATGCAAACTTCACTCTTGCTTTTTATGCCCCTGTGGAGGTGAAAATGTGAAAAATGGACTTACTCCAGACACGACCAGCTCTCCTCCCAAGTTCTGCACCTCAGCTTTGACTTTGCTGCAGATGTTGAGCTGGTGGCAGTACAAGGCGATACGCTGCAGGTATGCGTGCAAGTCCTGTTTACAAGAAGAGTCTGGGCACTGCAAGAGAAGAAGAGGAGCGAGTGAGCAAGGTATTGTCTATCTGCAAAGCAAATTAAAATTTAACACTGCTTTGTTGATTTTCTTCACATAAAATTTGCCGGAACTCTTCATTACGTCATTCAGCAGTAGCTACTCATTCTAAAAGCATCAGTAATTGTAAACAAGGTCAACGTTTTCTTAGCTCTGTAGTAGGGTGAGTGTCACAATTATACTTTCAATACCATGTTATCTATACTCATGTTATAAAACACTATATTGAATATACAACAATGTTTTGTGGCAACAGTCAATCTGAATATTTATGCTGCTGTGAAGTCACTATGATTGTGCACTTTATCAAGATGAGTTTGGAGCGTTGTGACAGGTAAAGTAGACACCCACATTAGGAACGTGCTCAGAGCCAAAATGATATATGAATATATATGAATAATATTCACAAGTAACAAAATTGATCACTCATCTTCACCGGGTTAAGTGCACATTGGGATCATTTTGTTTTCAATATACAGTGCACAGACTTACAGTAGAACAAAAAAAAATACCCAATGCAGTGGATATACAGTAGATCTTTGAATACACAATTAAAATAGTGGCATAATTAAATAAGCTATGTACAGATAATTTATATAAAAAGCGCTTAAAAGCTGGATGACTACCTCTCAAATATACCAATTAGAATTGGCACAATTTTTTATGGGTAATTATATACAGACTTGGGCTCTTCCTTATAAAAGTGTTTCCAAGCTTTTTTCCAGAGCCATCTAAACAGCCTGCTGCCAAGACAGTAATTAGGCCACTGTACTCTTATCTGTCAGTCATCCAGTTAGAAGTAAACACCCTGATGAGCCCTATACACTTAGCCGCTTCCAAGTCAACTACCTGAACCAGTAAACTACACTGGGGTGACCACAGGAGTGCCAGCAAAAACTGAAAAAGTGCAGGTTTTGCTGGTGCAGTGCTGTTTAAAGGACGAGTCCTTCGGCAGCCTTTAATTCTGAGTGCAGGGAAAAGGTGAAGCAGAGGTAATGGCAGCCAATCTTTTAATTGATGGTCTGTTCACAGGAGCTGGCGAAGACAGCACTGTGAAACTCCAAGTGTATGGGCTTTCAGCAACCAATGAGTACTTAAACAGATATAAACAAGAAAACGCCAGTATGAAGAACTCATAACTCTTAATTTAGATCGGTCATTATTTTGTGCGTACATTTCATTTAAAAGTAGAACAGAAAGTATCCCTTTTCAGAAGTGTGATGTAAAACAGAAAAAGGTGGAGCCGTGAACAGATATACTAAAACCCATACTAGAAATAAAAGATATGTGTAACGCTGTTAAAGGCTAGGCGCCGACTGCGGCCGATATACTTAGGCTTTACCAGAAATAGGTCCGGCCACGGAGCCAAGGGTGTGACTAAAACAAGACAAAATATAGATATTCAAGTACTTGTGTATTTTTAAAGGTAGGTATTCTTTTCTTTTAAGAGGTATATATTAATAACAAGTTATATCAAATATCAATAATAGACACAAAAAACATGTATGTAAAAAACAAATATACAAGGAAAACAAAAATAGTCCTGAGTTCAAGTTCACGTTCAGTTCATCTCAAGAGTTCAGTTTATCTCAGTTTAAATCCATGTAATCCAAAGGAAGGAAAAAATAAGGTTCGTTTGTTCCTACCACAGTGCAGGTAGGAGGAGGGGTAGGTAGCTCGCCATCAAGTGGTTGGACAAGGGAAGTGTTCAGGGTGGGTGGAAAAAAACCTGACCGGTGAGTAGTGGTTACGAAAGGCTTATGAGTGTTCTGGGGAGATGACAGAACCAAAGCAATCGGTAACGGGATCACAAGAAATACGCCCGTAACAGCGTTCGGCTTGATTAGAATGCAGAATGGAGGCTGTATTTTGTCTCAATGACTCAAAATGACAACGCCACAGCAGGAGCAGCTTGAATAGCAGCGGGGCTGATTAGGCGGATGTCCCAGGTTTAAAGGGACAGGTTTAAGGGAAATGGGCCCGCCAAAATAAAATGACAGGGACGGGGCAGGGACTGAGCCGCTAACTCATGTGGGTTACATATGCAAGAAAAATAAAGGGCATCCCCTATGATTGTGGGAAGCCAGATGACTTTAGAGTGTCCTGGAGCAACTTTTTTTGATTAACACTTTCCTTCCAACACAATCCCTTAGCTTCAGTGAAAATGAACAGCTGGTGTTATGACAAACTTATAGCTTACAAAAACGTCTAGATGTGTTATGGCTTTTGAAAATAATTATGTTAAAAATATTTTGCCTTTAACCCTGACCATTTGTTCTTCCCGAGTTTTTATTTGCTGGAACATAAAACCATTCAATAATGCCCTGTGAAGTGCCCGAGTGTCCAGAAATGCGCTATATAAAACCTAGTGTTGTTTAAGTAGTTACCAGCATAGTGCTAACGTACTTAAACAGAGGAGAGCTTCTTTGACTTGGACAATGACTGCTGAAGGAAAAATAAATTGCCTCTGCAAGGAAATTTGGAATTATAAAGAAACCATGAAACAATTCATCTTGAGGATGTTCTTCAGGGTCCTCTTGAGCTTTGTTTTGGTCAAATGTATGGTATACAAAAATGTCTAAACTTCTAAGAATAATTGGTTAACCAATTGTTAAAACAAAACTTTAAGCCCAATAAAATCCCTACATTATTGATATAATTATTCAGAAGGAATCAGTAATTACTGCAAACACATGTGCTCGTCTAGTATTGCATTGTGTACAACAGGAAAGAAACAAACGAGTATATAGACAGTTACTTCGAAGCGCCTCTGATTAATAAAAGATGAATAGGTCGAGTGAGCTGATCCATTGAAGACTTATGCCAAAAGATGCAGGCAAAAGAAGCTGCAGGCTGTCTTCATCAATCAGAACACATACAAGCTTTAAAAAGAGAACCAGAAAAATAAGTAGTTTAAGATAGGGTAGAGCAGCATGAAGATGTAAACAGTACTGAAACCCCACTGGGTCCAGAAACGCCAAAGGAGACACAGGAGAGGAACAGACCATTTGACATCTATGTGTGGGATCTTTAAGAAAGTAACAGGACTGAGACTGAGTGACTGCATTATAAATATATACAATAGAACAGGGCTGGAGAGACTACACCATAATGCAGTGCTCCATGCAAATGAGGGCACAGGCAAGTGTTGAGACGGCTCAGAGCAGGCTGCTGTGAAAGCATCACTTGTGTCCGTACTCAGCTGCATCAGGAAACCCATCCACACATGTGAATACATTAATCGCACATGGAGGAACACGAACATGTTGGACCCTCATTCAAATAGAAACCAATTTGTATCAGAATACTTTCTTCAAAGTATTAAATTGCTCATAGAAGCAGCTGTCTTTGAAATCATTGTCGTCAGTTCAAGCCCTAGACTGTCCATAATGTTAATTCAAGTTCTTTAAAATCAACAAATGATTCCAGTTACTTCATTTAAATATCCAATTGGTGAAGGGTTGCCACTAGTCAGAAACATTTTGCGGAATGAAATTGGCCTTTGTTGTACATGGGCTAACATGCGTTTGTCTTCAAACCTTTGCTTGAACGTGAGGGGTGAAATATTGGCAGCACAAAATAAATAAATTGATATATCTTTTTTTCTTCTCAATGGTATAATATCTATCCATCTATCTATGAAAAATAGTGATGATGTGAGACCAGGTCCCCTATTACTGCAGATCAATGCCATCAAGTTCTACAGAATCCCATTATAAACAGCAGGCAGAGCAGAGTCGCCCAGAACTGACCTTTCAGGGCGTTTCACAGAGGATATGCCCATTTCCAACATTTATTGACATGCTGAATTCAGATGGGCTCCTGCCAGTAACCACCGGTGCAAAACCAAAAAATACCAAAAATGTGATTGTTCAAGAAGAGTGATGCTCTGATATATTCTGTTGGGGCCAATATCCCATCTGCCTGAGGATAAGGCCAGTGTGAAAACAACCTATTGTGAGTTAGCTGGCCGTGCCACAGTGCAGTCCATATTATTTTTCAAAAGGCTTTGGCCAGGGACTAAATTACGCCAGAGTAGACGTGAACCGATCAGGAATTTTTTGGCCGATCACCGATCATTAAAATTTTGACTTGCCGATACCGATCATGGCCGATTCAATCAAATATTGATATTTTTAGTGATAAATGAATAGGACTAGTTATCACTTTATAACTAATCTTTCAAAACCATCAAGGTACTAGGTAGTATAAATAAAATACCCTAGGGGTACTCAAGACAGAAAGGTTTTTTTAATGAAATACAGCAATACTGTATATCCTGCATTTCTAAACTGATTAAGAAGAGATAGTTAAGGCAATGTTTGTTCTTCAGGAAAATTAGCATCTCAGCATTTGCAGGGGTTAGTTTATTACATTTATCATCCTGAATAGTCCCGCTGCGTAAACAGCCGCTCGCTGTCTACACTTGTGCATGGAGCGCAGAGGAAAGCTTACGCTGCTTTGGCCAAAGCAGGAAAGCGGCTTTTATTTTCCATCCAATAAACAAGCGGCTGTCCGCTCTGAGGCGTAACTAGTTTAGCTAGGTAAGCGACACTGTAGGACTGTCTGTACTACCACTACACTCATCTTCCTCCAACATTTCTGTGAACATAATATGCAAAGTCCCGACACGGGATGTTTTTGCCTGTGGCTCCGAGCTCAGCGCCTCGCTGTTGAGTGTGTTCCGTGTGTTTGCGCTGTGTGACTCTGGATGGGCCTGGAGTGTCAATGTGAGAATATACAGTTTGGTAAAGCTGCGGCAGTCAGACATCAGTCAAATATTTCCAAGATGGCATATTGAAGCAGTGGACATGTGTCGTTTGAACCCAGCGCTTTCCACGATAGACAAGGGCTTGTGGCAGAGGGGGGAAAAATCCATATTTCGTTTTTTTCTTACCGTCATTACTGTATGGTTGTTGCCGCTGTAGAATCTCCGTAACTGATAGCTGCATGAGTTGCTTGTTTAC